TCATGTCATTCCATCTTGTACAGCTGGTATGCTTACTGGCTGTTCTTACAGGAGCTAGGCTGGGAGGGAGAAACCCTCAACTGTCATCAGATACACTGCCAACTGGACCCTTCTGTGAGTATGTCTGGCAGAAATAAATGCTCTATTTGGTATTCAGACTTTCCAGTGTGTTAGTGTAGGGATGAGAGTTGAGAGTTCTCAAAAAGGGCTGAATTACAACCAGAATTGTACATCCTGTTGACCTAATTCAGGGGTCAGGAGAGTTTAAGTTCATAGTTTTGTTGGGAAGAGCTGCTGAGATATAAAGCTTGGAGCTGTGGAGAGGAGTGCTGCCTCTCCTTGTCTGCAAGCCTCTTTTGAAGAGGTCTTATGGATGGCAGCCACTCCACTCATACTTGCGCCCTGGGTCTTGGGCCTCCTCTTCTTGTTCTGCTTATAGGGCACAGGCAGGAGTTTCCATCCCCTGGGCTGAGTTACAGCTGCAGTTGCATGCTCTGGCCGTGGGTTCTTTGTGGCCAGTCAGGCCACTCCGATGGTGGGCATGCTCCAACTGAGGATGCCTCTGGGGAACAGATGGGCCCCACTGATGAGGAAGTGATATTGTGCTTTTACAAGTGGTGAACTTGTCGGCCGCACATTGGATACCCTGCACCCCAATATCGTTCTTCCTCTAAGAGAGACTTTGCTCCTGTGGCTCTGAGGCTTCCACGGGCTCCTGGCGGAGGATGATGCCTTTGCGAGGCAGAGTGCTGGCATAGCATCTGCCCGAAGGAGGTTCCCCTTGCTCCAGTCTGGCTATGGGACCAGGAAAGGCAGAGCAGGGCCCAGGAGGCTGCACCTTCCAGAGCTGAAAAGGAGGATCAAGCTGCACTGACTTCTTATACTCAGGGAGACTGTGTGAGACTGGGGCCGTGTTCTTACAGGCCCTCTGGGGGGTATAGTTGCCACCTCTTGCACCAGCTTGTGACGGAGGTAGTTTGAGTCACAGAACAGCATCTGCAAGGGAACATGTATGGTTATCAGAAGCAGGAAGACTTGCTGTGGCTGAAAATGGTGCTGCTGGTACAAAATCACACACACTTGTCCAACAGAGCCCAGTTTCATTCACCCTGTCCACATACCTTCAGCAGACAAGACTGATGCCTGTTGTGTGACTGGCCGGGAACCATGACTCAGCTGGGGATGGCGTTGAAAAGCTCAGCACATTGAAAGACTCACTGTCTGGTTGCTTCTGGGTGCCATCTGTGGCATGTTTTCGCTTGGAAGGACAGCTTGCTTGCTGAACACTTCCAAAAGTCTTTTGAGCTAAGTGGTTTTGTAAGTTGTAAGTTTTGTAAGAGCATTATGCATTTAAAAGAGGGGGGAAAAGACAACTTTCACATTGTTGGTTTTTTAACTAAACTGGTTTTTACTGCTGACCTGTCTTCCTTTGAGCCCACTGAACAAGTTGGTATGGGTGGTCGGGGGACTGTCCAGACAGTGAGGCGGGTGAGTTCGCCCTTGGTGTGCGCTATCTGGGGCCTGGAGGAGAGCAGGCTCCAGGGCCAAGGGCCATCATCATTAGCACTAAGTGGCTTGCAGCTCAGGGTGAGCCTTGGTGGGTGGCTAAAGCCTCAGCTTTGATGGGAGGGTGTGGGTCTCCCTGGCTCTAGGGAGGAAGGCAGAGGCAGCCTGGAGACCATCTGAATGTGCTTCTGGGCATGCTGGGCATGAAGCTGCTGGCTCTGTGTGGCTTCAAGGAGCTCTTTGTAACCTGTGCATTTCCCTGTGGTAGTGGATTGGGGAGAGTGTGTGAGTGGGATGCCGATATGAGGCCAAAGTCCACAACCTTCCAGCTGCATGGTGAGCCCTGGACCCTCCGTTTCCTTATCTGTAAAGTGGGGTTTCAAGGATAAAAAGCTAGAGGTTGGCCCCTGGAGGAACCCAATTAAGTGGTGATCCTGTGAGAGTCAGGCCAGGTGGTCCCACCGGTGCTTAGACTTCAGGGAGTGCAGGGTTTCCCCATTTTTATCACAGCTGCACATGTCCAGCTTCATGACCAGGAGGTTGGATATTTCTGGTGGAGTGGTACCCCCTGATGCATGGAGAAAAGGGAGCCGTGAACCAGGGGCCTCACAAACACCAAAGTTTGGTGTCTCTGTTCTTTGTTTCGCATCTGGGTGGAAGTCCCCAGCTCCCCCCCCGCCCCCCGGCCCCTGGTGGTAATTACTCAGGGCTTGGGGTTTACCTACCTATCCCTGAAATAGATCGAAGACATCCACAGTTGGACAAGGGCTTTGGTGTGACTCGTGGTTGGCCATAACATCAAAAGACAGGAATCCCTCTTGCCAACTCTTCCATTCATGGCTGACACCCTCTGGAGAGCCCCTCGTGGACTCTGAAGCACTCCCCACTATGTGATGGCTGAGGCAGGTGGGCCTCTCCTGCATGGAAGGAGCTGCAAAGCGAAGTTCTGGCCTTCTGGGCTCTTTAGCAGGGAGACCCGGACCCCATGCCCTTTTCTACCCCAGGAGTGCAGGCTGTTTTGGCACCATGTGCCTGGTAGTTTGAACCCAAGGTAGTTTGAACTCCTCAGGAGACAGACTCACTGTGGAACCACTTAGTCCTCAGCCTCCCCCCCACACAGGCACCAGGTGGTGCAGCACAAAGCCACTGTGAGGAATTGGAAAATGGTTACCTGATCACTTTACCTCCACACACTGCCCTGACATTCCAGGTCTAGTTAAGTATCCCATCCAAATGTAAGGAAATACAAGTATTTAAGTAAACTTTTTAAAGATTGTGGTAAGTTTCAAATATAAAATTAGAATAGTGTAACCATCCTGGCATCAGTAGATACCAACTTAAAATCCTACTTACCAGATCAACATTGTTTCCTGTTCCACTTTCTCCAGTAGACACCCAAGTAGGTTATTTTGTAGCAAGTTGCAGATGGCATCATATCTTTAGTAAATAGTAAAAAATGTGTCATTAAAGATTAGGATGAGCAGTGTACCTTTAATGTTCACATGGAATGTAGCATGCTCTGGAGTTTTATGCAGTTTCACTAATTGTTCAGGTTCCTCATTGCTCCCACATGACCCAGGGTGTGGGAGGATAGGGACATCACCTGAGCAGGAGTGGTGGTACCCAGCACTGGCATTGTCCAGACTTTTGTCCAGGCTGCTTCTGAGGGTTGTTCTCCTGTCCCTGGGACTGTTGCCTGTGTGTGTCCAACCCCCTGCTTCCCATTCTCTGTGAGTCGAGCAGCAAATATCTCCAGCTGCCGTAGTGATTTAGGTGCTGAAGGGCTTTCTGAGAATGAAGGCTGTCTTACTTCCTTTGCGCCTACTCTTGCTTTTCATATGTGGGAAATCTCCATTAGAACCCGTAAGAGCCCAGGAACTGGGTTGGCAGTGCGGAGCATCCTCCCCATCCCCTAGTGAGGATGTGCTCAGTGAGGGTTCTTTCTTTCCCCTGGCCCGAGGCCAGGAGGTGCCTTAGTTTAGGGCAGTGGTTCTCAACCTTACTAATGCCACAACCCTTTAATATAGTTCCTCATGTTGTGGTGACCCCCCAACCATAAAATTATTTTCGTTGCTACTTCATAACTGTAATTTTGCTACTGTTATGAATCGTAATGTAAATATCTGATATGCAGGATGTATTTTCATTGTTACAAATTGAACATAATTAAAGCATAGTGATTAAGCACAAAAACAATATGTAATTATATATGTGTTTTCCGATGGTCTTAGGCGACCCCTGTGAAAGGGTCGTTCGACCCTCAAAGGGGTCGCGACCCACAGGTTGAGAACTGCCAGTTTAGGGTAGCCTACATGTTTGATGCTGGAGACACTGGCTGTCTGAATGGACAACCACGTTTAAGCTGTCTGAATCCAGTATAAAAACCATCAGCAAGGTGGTTATGGAGTTAGTCCCACCAGTAGTCATGGGTAACTTTGTAGACACCTGTGTCACACCCAGGATGACTTCTTGCCCTTCCTTTACAGTGGACACCTCAGGTCTTCTCTGAGTCTTGCCCATCGCGTGGCCTGCCCTGCCTGCTCTCTGCCATTCCAGAGTAGCTTTGTCCCATCTTGTACCTCCCCTAAGGACATTTAGGTATCTGTGGAGCAAATGCCACCACACTGGAGGTTCCATGACTGGGCAATATTTATTTCCAATAAAGAGGCCACTAAATACAGAAAACAAATGGGTTGAATGAATGGGTTGAGAACGTGAGCAGTTCGCACAGGAAGTCATCATTGGCAGAAAGGGGACGTGATACTAGGCTCACTAATTGTTCAGGAAACTCAAATTAGTTTGCATCTATTGCGGGGGCCCTAATGAGGAAATGAGAGGCTGCAGTGCTCAGACTCCCTGGTGTGTGGATTCTGCCCCTTTTGGGAAAGCCGCTTGGCGGGTGGTTTTGAGGTGTGTGTGTTTGTTTTACTGGGAAGATTCCCAAGGCATCCACGACAGCAGTTGGCTGCATGTGGCCCTCAGCCCTGGCCTGCAGACTTATTCCAAAAACGGCTCAGAGGCTCCCTCCCCATGCAGGATGGAGTGGTGTATGTGCTGTGGTGATGAGAATATGTGTTTTCATGCAGACAGGTAGGTGGTCTTTGGGGTGGTAGTAGCAGTCAGCTCCCATTTGGGCTGGAGTTGATAGAAGGCAGGCTATGTTCTCCTGGCATCCTCGCTCATGCCACTGTCTTCGTTCTGGTTCCCTCTCCCCTCTCCAGGCTTTGTTGCCTTATCATCTCACAAGGCCCTGGGACCTCTGCTGTAGGAGACCCCACTCAGGTGATGCCCTTGCCACAGGCATGCCTGCCTGCCTTCCAGCTGACACCCACATCCTTGCCAAGGATCTGTGCTGGGCTTTGCAGTCCTCGAGCCTGGATGGGAGCCCCCCTTGGCATGTCACCTAGGTGTCCCTGCTACCCACAGGCCCTCTCTATCCAGGGTGGGAGGCCTGTTGCTCCTGGGTGGGTGGGTGGGTGGGTGGGTTGGTAAGACAGGTTCAGGAGCCTTCTGTTTGTGGTCAGGCCACTGCCTACCAACAGGCTGGCTGAGGTGACACTGTCAACTGGATCTGAGGCCAGAGGCCTGATCTGATGTTGCACAGACCTCCAGGATTCTTGCCTGTCCAGTGTGGTAAGGGCCAGGGCTGAGGGACAGACTCCTGGTAGCATTTCTCACGGTCTACAGACTGTCTCTATCTGGAATGTCCAAGCACTGCTTCCTACACAGTGCTCAGTGCCCTGCCTGTCATGGCCAAGAGTGGGGCAGAGCCAGAGGGGTGAGCCCCTCAGGGAGATTCCGAACTTCCATGAAGCGGGGGCAGAAGGAGGGGGACAGGGGTAACATTTTCCACAGGGCTGAGGGCCTCTCAGTACACCACCAAGTTATGGCAGAGCCCGCAAGCCTGACCTGTCTCAGCTCCTGTGAAGCTTCCAAGGAGGGGCCTGGCCGTAGGGTGTCTGCGGCACCAGCTGGCTGCCAGTCCCAGGCTGCCCAGGTGTTCTGCCTCTCTCTCCTTCTGGCAGTGGGATAGTGTCTGCCCAAGGACAAGGACACTCTGTGCTGCTGGGCTTGCTTTGTGGGGACTGCTGGTCCAGGAGTGTATGGGGACCTAGGGCTCTAAATATACCAGAGTGAGGTCACTAGGGTGGAAATAGGCCATGTGGCAAGCTCAGGACCCTATCAGGCTGAATCCCAGGACTGGGGACAGGGAGCTGGTGGCCCTGCTCTCCCTGTGCAACTGGCCTCCTCACCATGCAGTCTCCTTTTGCACCACATCCCTACTCAAAGGCACATTAAGGTATGTTGATTGTGTCTCCTCTCAGATCCGCCTCTTTAACTCAGTTTGAAGTAGCTTTCTAGAGACAGCCACAGCCCCAAATGAAAACATCATGAGACGAGGCCATTGTTGACAGGGCGCAAATTGGCCCCTGGCAAAGGGGCAGCTTTGCGAGAGCTCTGTTGGGCACAGTGAGGGCTACTGTCGTGATCTGTGGTCACTGCAATTTACACCCACACTGCCTTTAGCTGGAAATGGGGCAGATAAAAAAAAAAAAAAAAAAAAAAGCCAGGAATACACAATGCCCGCAGAGTAACAGCCCCACATCCTAGTCACCGGTATCTGGGCACATGGTACCTTACATGGCAGAAGGGACTTTTGTGACTAAGGGAGCAGACCTGGATTGTCCAGGTGGGCACAGCCTGATGCCATCAACTAAACAAGGTGGTGATGACATATGGAATCTTTACAAGCAGAGACCATTTCCTGGCTGGTCAGAGGTGTGGTGCGGGGTTGGGGTGCAAGCCAGGAAATGCAGTGCCTACCAGAAGCTGGGAATGGCCTTCAAATGACAGCCACAAAGAGAACAGGGACTTCAGTTCTGTAGCACTGAGGAACTGAATCCTGCCAACACCCGAAGGAGCAGGAAACGAGCCCCAAAGGAGGGTAGTCTGCCAACATCTAGATCACAGCCCAACGGAGACCCAAGCACACTTCTGACCTTCAGACCTGGGATGATGCATGCATTTTGTTTAAGCCACTCAGTCTGTGATCATGTATGAACACTTTGGCAGCAAGAGGAAACTGATACACCCTGGTGCTGGCAAAGACAGAAAGATAAGGGAAATAGGCTTCCTCACCTTCCAATGGGAGCAGCCTCCCTAGGGGCTAATTACAGTAGTTCATGTCCTGGGAGCCCACAGCCCCTTTGGTTGCTTGTTTGTTAGACCAAAGTCATATCTGATAAAGGTAGTGATAGCAGCTTTGTCTATAACAGCCAGTGAAACACCCAAGTGTCCCCCAACTGGCCCTGCTCGGTGGGGCCTCCCCTCACTGGAAAGCTGAGCAAAAGGAGGGGTCTGTGCTGCTGGGCATTTCAGATGTTAGTGAGAAAGAGCAAGACATAAAACCATGTTTTGTTTTTTTAAAAATATGGGATAAGTATGTGCACAGGCTTGTGTTTGCAAGGAATATTTCTTGGAAAGCTACAAGGAGATGCTGCAGTGGCTGGGTGGAGATGTACCTTTCCTTACTGTATCATGTCTACATAACTCTGCTGTGTGTGTGTGTGTGTGTGTGTGTATGTGTAGGGGGTGATATGCTCACTGTGTGATTTTGGTGGGAGAAGGGGGTTACTCCAGATGTGGGCTTCCCTATTCCAGCCAGCCCACTGGAAACCTGCAGCCGCTCAGTTGATGAAGATGTAGGAGTTCTTATTCTCTATTGAAATTCTTCAGCAAGAATGTTTTGTCAACATGTACTACTAGGCCAAGGCTTGCCTCTTCATTAGCGGTGTCTTTTAGTAAACCTAAGTTCTTGGATTTTGATTAAGATAGTTTCCAGTTTGTCCATATTTTTTCTTGAATGGTTAGTGTTTGGGGGTTCCTAAGAAATCTTTGTCTACCCCAAAGTGAAAAAGATCTTCTCTTATTTCTTCTAGAAGCCTGAGAGTTTTTGCTTTCATATTTAGGTCTATGATTCATTTTGAGTTAATCTTGAAGTGCTTGGTGTAAATGGAATCACCACATATATTTTTTTAATATGTCTTTATTGATCTTGGAGAGGGCGATAGATAAAAACATCTATGAGAGGGAAATGATTGGTTACCTTCCTGCGTGCGCACAAACACACGTGCGCGCACACACATGATCAAGCCTGCAACTCTGGCATGTGCCCTCACGCACCAGCCAGGTAGCCATATATATTTTATGTGATACTTCCCTCCCGGTGGTTTGAACTCCATGTTATTAGTACAGTGGGGCCTTGACTTACGAGTGTCCCGACTAACGAGTTTTTCAAGATATGAGCCATCTCTTGGCAGATTTTTTGCTTTGAGTTGCGAGCTAAATTTCGGGTTACGAGCCAGCTTCAGATACCCCACCGCTAGTTGGCGCAGCGAACGTCACAGTGAACGCCACATCATCAGCCCAGCATCACGTGTCTCACTTGTTCACTGTTGATTTGACATACGAGTAATTTGAGTTACGAGCTCCGTCACGGAACGAATTAAACTCGAAAGCCAAGGCCCCACTGTATACAAAAGCTGCAGTTTGCTCATTTCTCTGGCTCTTGAATTTCTCACTCTGTTCCTTCAAACTCCTAGAGGACACTGGTGTCATCATAACGTTTGAACATGTCACCTGCAACTTTCTGTATCATCTCCTATCTGTAAAATGTGATGATAATAGTATCTATCCTGGGGTGGTTGTGACAACTAAACCAAGGTGGTGACATATGGGAACATGTATTAGTAGGACAGGGCCTGTCTTGAAGCAAGTATCTTAAAGGGTTGTAATTGCTTGGTCATAAGATGTACATACGTGTTTGTACTAGACAAAGCCCATCGCTCCCCAGTCAGCTGTGCCAAGAACTCTCTGGCATTGTCAGGTACCATTTCTGCCCGGTGGGTGTGTACAGTGTGTTCACTTGAGGGTTCGGTCTACACTTCCTGATTACCAGGAGACTTGAGCACTGATGCTACAGCCTCCTGTGTTTTGCTCAGGGTCTCTGTATGTTCCAGATTGGGGTCATCGGGGCCTTGTGGCATCTGTCTTCTCCCACTTCGACTTTTTGCTCTCTTTATAGTTTCTTTGGATGAACTCTAAAGGTCTTGTTAAGGTAGCCAAATCTATTGGATTATTATGTATCAATCTTTTCTTTTAAACTTGGTGTATTTTATTTAACACTTTAGCCTCCCACCCCATCAAATGGCAGAGTAGAGTGTATCTCTTTGATCAAGAGATCTTGTTTCATTAATGTCATGAGTTTTGGTTGTGTGACAGACACTCGAGAGTGTGGCCATGTACATGGATAGGAGAGTGAGTGCTGGGTGCCATGTGGCCCCCCGGGCAGAGGTATGCAGCAGGGGCTTCAGAGATGCCAGCTCCACTGGCTCTTGGTGTGGGAGAGGTGGAGCAGGCTAGGGTAGGGAGAAGGGAAGGATTGTGATGAGTGGCTCTTGTCTTGCAGATCCGGAACATGGTGGCGGTGTTGGAAGTCATCTCCAGCCTAGAGAAATACCCCATTACCAAAGAGGCACTGGAGGTGAGTGTCCCAGCCCACAGTACGTGCTTGAGAGTGTCATCTTTCCTTGGGCACTGAGGCACCTGGGGTGGGGTTGGGGGTTCAGTCCCAGAGTTGGGGTTCCATCCTCCGCAAGATGCCTTACACTCTTGGGGAGGGCGTGAGGAGGATACCCAGGGGAGACTGCAGTGGGTGTCGCTGGCCCTGGGCTCTTTTGTTTGCTGTTGCCTTTCCCACAATGTACTGTCATCCAGAAAGCTTCCTTGACAAAGGGTCCTTGCAGTGGCCTTGGTGCCAGTAGCCTGCAGGACAGTGCTTCTGAGAATGCTGCCTCTGGCCCTGGGACCCTAGGGTCTGAGGACTATATTTGAGAATTTAGATGTCACAAAGGACCCAGATTCCCCATAGGTTTTGTGTCTGGTAAGCCAGTGGTTTAGGGGCCACAGGGGGACTCCGTCTCAAAAAAAGTGCCATGGTCTTTCTCTGGTTGTAGGAGACGCGACTTGGGAAACTCATCAATGACGTCCGCAAGAAGACCAAGAACGAAGAGCTCGCCAAGCGGGCCAAGAAGCTGCTGCGGAACTGGCAGAAGCTCATTGAGCCTGTGCACCAGAATGAGGCAGTGCTGCGGGGGCTGGCAGGTGCCCCTGGCTCTGCTAACGGGGGTGCCCACAACTGCCGGCCAGAGGCGGGGGTGGCCAGCGCACCCAAGAGCATCCATGACCTGAAGAACCGCAATGACATCCAGAGACTGCCTGGGCTGCGGCTGGACAGGCTGAGCAATCGCAAGCGCCGGGGGGACCAGCGTGACCTTGGCCACCCTGGGCCACCTCCCAAGGTCTCCAAAGTAAGCCATGACTCCCTGGTTCCCAACTCATCACCTCTCCCCACCAATGGGATAGGTGGGAGCCCCGAGAGCTTCCCAGGTCCCCTGGACAGTGGCAGGCACGTGGGCCCTGAGGGCAGCTGCCTGGAGCAGGGCGAGAATGACAAGCACAGCATCAAGATCCCCATCAATGCTGTGAGGCCGCACACCAGCTCCCCAGGTCTGGGCAAGCCCTCCGGGCCCTGCTTGCAAAGCAAGGCTGCAGTGCTACAGCTGCTGGACAGGGCGGACGAGACCTCGGGACCTCCCCACCCCAAAGGGCCGCCTCGTTGCTCCTTCAGTCCCCGGAACTCACGGCATGAGGGCTCCTTTGCCCGGCAGCGGAGCCCATACTCACCCAAGGGCTCTGTGCCCAGTCCCTTGCCTCGGCCCCAGTCGCTCGATGTCACGCAGGTGCCGTCACCACTGCCACTTGCCCAGCCATCCACACCCCCTGTGCGGCGGCTAGAGCTGTTGCCCAGTGCTGAGAGCCCAGTGCACTGGCTAGAGCAGCCTGAGGGCCACCAGCGACTGGCAGGGCCGGTCTGCAAGGCAGGGCTGTCACCAGCTGAGTCCATCCTACCCCGGGCTGGCTTCTCCCCAGACTCCTCCAGGGCGGACAGTGATGCAGCCTCCTCTGGTGGTTCAGACAGCAAAAAGAAGAGGAAACAGCCCCGTGACTACACGGTGAACTTGGGTGGCCAAGTGGCCGAGGCAGGCGTCAAGCCTGTGCGGTTAAAAGAGCGGAAGCTCACCTTTGACCCCATGACAAGACAGATCAAACCTCTGACCCAGAAAGAGCCAGTGCGGGCCGACAGCCCTGTGCACACGGAGCAACCCAGGACAGAGCTGGACAAACCCGAGGCCAAGACCAGCCTCCAAAGCCCCTTTGAGCAGACGAACTGGAAGGAGCTGTCACGCAATGAGATCATTCAGTCCTACCTAAGCCGGCAGAGCAGCTTGCTCTCATCTTCGGGCGCACAAACCCCAGGGGCCCACCACTTCATGTCTGAGTACCTGAAACAGGAGGAGAGCACCCGGCGTGGGGCCAGGACGCCACACGTGCTACTGCCTCCGGGCCCATTCACTGACCTCCCGGGGCTAAGCCGCCAGGTCACACAGAACGATCTGGACAGAATCCAAGCCCACCAGTGGCCAGGGGTGAATGGGTGTCAGGACACACAGGGTAACTGGTATGACTGGACGCAGTGCATATCGCTTGATCCGCACGGTGACGACGGGCGATTGAACATTCTGCCTTATGTTTGCTTAGACTGATTGGCCCCTCAGCCTCTAAGTGCATTCCCACCTTGCAGTTAGCAGGAGGGTGGCCAGGCCTGGAAGCCTCCAGTGGTTTGGAGCCCAGCTGAGGCAGAAGGGAAGGGCGGGGGGTCTTAGGTCTCTCTAAGCTCTTCCCTCAAAATTCTCCTTCTTTTGTGAAATGCTGCTACCAGTTTACTAACAAAATTACAAAGGAAGGACCGCGTGGAAGGAAGGCCGGCAAAGTGAGTTCAGAACTCTATAGCAAACCAGCTATAAAACGCGTCAGCTCCCCACCCCAGGAGAGGTGCGAACACTTCCCAGCATCCATGAGCTGGGACCTCAGTTGCAGGCAGGCACAGAAAACCTGTGGGAGAAGTTACCTTTAACACAGTGACAGAAGCATGCATCTCATCTATCTGCATTTTCTGTTCTTTCACTTGGCCCTGAGTGTTTGAGGCAGTGGGCAACCTCATGGCCTATTGGCACCCCATCCAGCCAGTGTTTCCATCATGGTGCCAGATGTAATGAGCTGCTGGCATCAGGTGGGCCCCTGGCCAGCCTGTTTGACCCACACTCCATGGGCATCCACACATGAGTATTTCGTTTTAGTTCAAACTCACTTTTTAAAGAAATGCTGCAAAAATTTGTTTTCTAGAGTTTATTTTATTCCATTTCACCACCAGCCAAATAATTTTCCTTTCTATTTTTTCATTTTCCCTTTTCTGCACATATCTAGAAAACGTCACCTTTCTAGAGTCTCATCCCCAAAACAAAAGGTTCCCATAGGTGCTACTGGTGTGTAAAGCTGTACTGTTTGTTGGCAAGGAGACCTGTCTGTGCGCTGGAAACACTCATGACCATTCCTTTAGATTCGTTTGCCTTATGGTTGTCATAACGCGATTTGCAAAAACAAGGAGCCTTAGTGAATGTACAGTATCTAGACTTCTGTGTTCTCAGGATGCAGAAGGGAGCAACTTTGCTATTTGGTCCAGTAAGTGGACACCTTGTGATATAAATGTGGAAATAAAAAATAAAAAAAAACCATTTGCACAAACCAGTCTGAGAATCATTTCTAATTTGGTCCTTTACAGCCAAATCTGTTTATTCTGGATGGGCCAAGAAAACGTGTTCAAGGTTTGGGCCCTACAGTATGCGTCTGTACAGAAGTAGGTAGGCAAAGTGACCGAGTCAGCCTGTTAACATTCTTCATGGACACTGACCTCCATCTGCCTTTCATTTATTCAGCGTCACATGTTGCCTCTCCCACCTCAAGTCACGTACTGGCTTTGGGTGATAAGAGACCAAGGCTCCACATCAAGGAATGTTATCCTGTCTCCATCCAGGCCTCACCTGACCCAGGGAGATTTTGTGACCTTTACTTACCCCCTAAAATAGTTATAGTTTTTATATGGCATGGCACAGAGCCATGTCTGGCAGTGTGCCTCCTGGCCCTGGCCCCAAGCTGCCAACTCCCCATGCACACCTGGAGCTTAGATCTGGCTAGTGCCGATTTTTTTTTTAAATAACTTTTCTTCCTTGACTGTAAAGGGATAATAAAGAATCATTTAATTCTCCACCTTTGTCCCTGGAACAATTAGATGACTTTGGTTTTCTAGTTTTTCCACTCCAGGATGGTCATCTTGGACATATCTACTTAATTTCACAGATGAAGAAGCAGCTAACCCGTAAGAAGGGTAATCTAGGGTGAACCCAGAGGTCCAGTCAATCCAGAGCCACAGTTCTAGAGCCAGTGACAGCCTGCCTTGGTTTGGTGTAGGACACACCCACCCCAAGAAGGCAGTGTGTGAAGTGGCTTTGAGGGCAGTCTAAGGCTGAACTCTGGCCCTCCCATCTACCAGCTGTGTGGCTCACTTCACTCCTGTATGTGTCCCCATTTGGGAGATACAAGTGCTTGCTTCAGAGTTGTAAGACTAAGTTAAATGATCAAAGTTTTTTAAGAAGCACTTCAGTGGAACCATCTGTGCTGTGGAGTAACTAGTTCTTTCCTAACCTCAGTGTGCCTGTTTTTCTCACTCTTAATGTGGCCAGCCCTGCTGCCATGTGGATGTCTGAGGAAGTGACATTACTCTGTGACAAATGGTGACCCGCACAGCTGGGAGATACGAGGGTTCAGGTTAGTGTCACAAGTATATCCTTTCCTCAGACCTGGGCTTTGGGACAGGTCTCTGCTCCTTGCTGTAGGGAACAGCTCTCCTGTCTGAGTATCCAATAAGTCCCATGGTAGATACTGCCTGCCTTTGAGAACCAAAGTTTAAGATAAGGTTTCTCCTCCAACATTTTGGAGATCGATGGACTGCCACTTCCTAATTTGCCAAGTAAGGACACTGTAAGAGAATTTTAACACCCTTCCTATCCCCAAGCCCACTCCCAAAGTTATTTAGTATATGACTTGGAGCAGACCAAAGTCCTTTAAGTAGTACAAGATCATCTTGCTGAGAACACCGTCTTATTTTCCTCCGCGGGGGCCCTAGGCATCAACAGATGGGCGCGGCACCTCCCTCTCCCACAGTGCCCGAGGAGGCTGCCCAGTCTGGGCTTCCGGTCTGTCCGCCTGTGAACTGGAGAGGGTCACACCTACCGCACAGAGCACGTAGCGGCAGTTCCCAGGACGTGCTCCAGAGAACCAGCCACGGGAGTCCGCTCCCGGTTTGCAGAAAGGATTTAGCTTTTCACAACTTGACCTTTCATCCTCGGTGTCTGCCTATCAGGAATCTGGTTGCGGGCGCCGGTGCAGCGCGATGTCGAGGAGTGGCCTGCGAGCTCCATGGTGGCTCACCCGCGCCCACCAATTCTTTTAGAACTTCGGCTCCAAGTCCCCCAGCCAGCCCACCACTTTGCAACCCCGTTGGGCTCTCGGCCCGCGTCTCCTTCCGCTTCCGGGATAGGTCCTGCCCTCCACCGGAAGCCCACCCGCGGGAGGCGGGGCCTGCGCTTGCTACGTAATGCCAGGCCCGGCGGTGACGAGGGGCGGCGGCCAATGGGGAGCGGCGTTGGCTGGCGCACCGCCCCTCCAGGCCCCGCCCCAGCCCCGCGTAGGGCCGTCGAACGGGCGGGAAGGGGTGGCCGCTGGGTTAGGATGGCGGCGGTCCCGGGCGCGGGGGGCCCGGGCGCGGCGGGCGGCGGCGGCGGGGCGCGTGAGGGAGCGCGGGTGGCGGCGCTGTGCCTGCTGTGGTATGCGCTGAGCGCGGGCGGCAACGTAGTCAACAAGGTGATCCTGAGCGCCTTCCCGTTCCCCGTGACCGTATCGCTGTGCCACATCCTGGCGCTGTGCGCGGGGCTCCCACCGCTGCTGCGCGCCTGGCGCGTGCCCCCCGCGCCGCCCGTCTCGGGCTCTGGGTCCGACCCGCACCCGTCGCCCGGCCCGCTGCTGCCGCCGCGCTTCTACCCGCGCTACGTGCTGCCCCTCGCCTTCGGCAAGTACTTCGCGTCCGTGTCGGCGCACGTCAGCATCTGGAAGGTGCCGGTGTCCTACGCGCACACCGGTGAGTGCGGCGACGGGTCGTGGGGTGGTGTCTCACCTGGAATGCCGCCCAGGCTGTTAGCTGGGGAGGGGCGAGCACGGGAGGGGAGGGGGGCTGTGGGAGGGGAAGGCCGCGTAGGGCTGGGGTGGAATCCCACGGGAAGAGGAGGGCTGAAGAGTTTTGAGGGTCTGCCAAGCTGTCTCAGCCCGCGGGGAAGTTGGGTCACGAGCTCCCAGGGTGGACCCCGGGCTAGGGCGGCCAGCTGAGCGCCCCATTGCTTCTCTTTGCAGTCAAGGCCACCATGCCCATCTGGGTGGTCCTCCTGTCCCGGATCATCATGAAAGAGAAGCAGAGCACAAAGGTAACCAGGAGGACTCTGGGCAGGTGGGGACTCCACGGGCTTCCAGGAAGTTGTCCGGCTGGTGACGTGGTCCAGGCTCCTGGCCTGCGGGCTGCCAGGCTTCCTGTCAAATAAGGAAGTCGGTTTAGATGCCTCTGGTGGCCCTTTTGCTCTTAATTTTCTGAAGTTACCCTGGGAACAGTGGTGTGTGTGTCCCCGAGTTGCTTCTCCCCTGTGGTCTCGTGGACATTGCCCTCGCTCTCTAGTTCCACTTGCCTCCCTCCTTTGATCTCCTACCCAAAGTGTCTGGTAGATGATGACTTGGTCCCATCGAGGCCAAGCGCCTCTAGCGGGACCGAGGATGGAACATCTGACTTCGTGCTGGAGTGGAGTTTCACTTCTTTACAAGAGTCAAGCATGGTCAGGTTGGAGATTTTTGGGGTCTGAAGTGAGATGCTCGTCAAAGCAGTCTGATTTTGGAAAAATTCATCAAAGTCTTTGAAATAAAACAGCCAAGAATTGGGAATGTTTGAGAATGGAAGTTAAAATAACAGACAGAACCCAGAACTGTATAAGGAAGGTGCTTTGGGCATAATCCAGGGCCTGTTCAATGTGCCAAGCCAGGGCATTTCCTGCCTTGGGGTGAGAGAAGCTGTGGCTTTAGCCTGAGACAGCCTTACCCATCCATGCCCTTAAGTAGAAGTAGGACTCCTGTTTCCCCAGCTGGAATTCATTTCATGCTGGACAGAGCGCCTCTTTTCTACTTGGTTGGTTTCTGGCATCCTGTATTTTATGTAACTAAGAGCAGCAGTACCTTGGATCAGCTTATAGAAATTGGGCCTGCCCAAGCCAGTTTGGCTCAGTGGGTAGAGCGTCGGCCTGCGGCCTGAAGGTTCAATTCCGGTCAAAGGCACATGCCAAGGTAGCGGGCTCTGTCCCAGTGGGGGTGTGCGGGAGGCAGCCAGTCAGTGATTCTCTCTCATCATTGATGTTTCTGCCTCTCTCCCCCTCTCCCTTCCTCTCTGAAATCAATTATACACACACACACACGTGTTTTTTAAAAAGAGAAATTGGGCCATCTCCGGCTGATTTTTTGTTTCAGCCTGTCTTTCTCCCTGCAAGAACTGGGTGTGTTCTGCTGCCTGCTCCCAGGGTGATGTCAGCTGTGGCTTGTCTCCGGAGTCGGAGTTGCTCAGGAGGTGTGCAGCTGCATCACGCGATATCACAGCGTGTTTATCAGGTTTCCCCGTTGTACAGGACATTGGACCTGGCTTGGACGAGGAGCTGGAAACTTCACCCAGTGAGGAAACAGTAGGGAATGACTTGGGCAGGAGTCTGATAATGAAGGAATAAGTATGGATCCACCCTGTGAGGAAGATAAAGCAGGTCATTCCAGATCTCAGGGGAGGAAACGGGACTTGTAAGGGGAGAGTCATGTGCCTGAGGTCCATAGCCAGTAGTGGGGAAGCTGGAATTCAGAGCCCTTGCTGTGCCCTGGGTGGAGGCTTGGGGGGCAAGGAGGTACTTGGGGGGGGGGGGGCAGGGTTAACCAGCCACTCCTAAATCTCCACAGTACTTTAAGAAAGTCCTTTGTAGAAGAGAGAGAAGCTGGGAGTCAGAAGAGCTAAATGTCAGGAATTGATTCTGTTTATCTGGAAATTGGGAGCCGTTTAGCCAGCAGAGAGCTCATGAGCCATTCCATGCACCAGGCCCTGGAAAGCTTGGACCCTGTGGAAGGCCTCCTATCCCAGCACGTTACTCAATCATTCAGCCAGCAGTTACTGGACGCCTGCTGTGTTTTGGACACCAGGATAGAGCACTGAAAGGACCTACCCTAAAAAAGTGCAGGGACACAGACTATGTAATGGACACTTACAATGGGTGGAGATCTCCGGGCCCAGGAACTCGACAGGGTGGGAGTGGGGGAAGGTGGGTGGGGAAAGTTCTCTTGAATGCTGTGTGAACTGAGGCCTGCGGGAGGAGTAGCTCTCCAGCTAGAGAAAGCGAGTGTGTCCCAGCCAGTGGTAAGTGAAAGTTGGAAAAGGGACCCTGCCAGCCTCCCGGAGGATCGGGGTTTCAGACCCTGGTGTGTTGGTGGTGGCAGCTGGATAGATCTGTTAGGAGCAGCCCCAGTGGGTGGCCCTGAGCAAGGGCTCTTAATGGGGGTGATGGTATAAGGAGTGGGCTGCCCACAGTGACACAGCCTTGCCCCAGGCACTATGATAACCATCTCCCTGCCCCCAACCTCCAGAGCATCGCCGTCACAGCTAACACTGTTGTCCAAACATAGGTGGTGCCCCTTTGGTGAAGGAGAAGAGAGCAGCTGAGGCTTTCCCCTGGTGTCTGTGTTGGGCGGCCCAGCTCAACTCCGGCCCATCAGCCTTGCCCACCCTCTCCCACAGGTGTACTTGTCACTCATCCCCATCATCAGCGGCGTCCTGCTGGCCACTGTCACCGAGTTGTCGTTTGATATGTGGGGGCTCATCAGTGCTCTTGCTGCCACACTGTGCTTCTCGCTTCAGAATATTTTCTCCAAAAAGGTATTTAGATACTGTCTGTGGTACGCTTGATGTTCTGGGGGTGCGTGGGTAACATTGAAAAAGTGACCAAGTAGGGATTTCTTTGGTGATGAAGAAAATCATGTCCTTCTGCTGGTTTTCTATTGTTTAATTTTTCAATATGTTTTTGTTACTTTCTTATTTTCAAATACAAGCAAAAGTTTATTTAGAAAGTCACAGGGGCGGGGGGGAAG